CAGCGCTGGATGGTATCAGGCTGGAAGGGGTGGAGGACTCATAGCCCGAGCTGGCAGCCGGGGACGATTCGGAGCCCTGAGGGGAAGATTCATGGACCTGCAAAGCAAAGGCAACAAGACAGGGTGGAGTAAGTGTCCCCGTGCGCAAGGCACCCAGCCAAAGCTCACACCCCCCATCGCGGGGTAGCGCGCTCCCAGGGACCCACAGCTGGCCTCCTTCGCCAAGCAAAGGCTCCCTGGACTTTATCACCTGGTGGCGAGGCGGCTCCGGGTTTTGCTTCCCTTCCCACCACAGAGAATGCAAGCTACAGCCTTCCCCCAGACCGACCCCCTCAGAGCATGTCATCTGGCAACACTGCCCTGGCCTTATACCTTCATGTGCTTCCGCAGAGAGCTGGGGTGGGTGTAGGATTTGTCGCACATTTTACACAGATAGGGCTTATCTGAAGTGTGGACGTGCATGTGCTTCTTTCTATCGCTGCTGTTGGCAAAACGTCTGTCACAGCCTTCAAATTCACACTGGAAGGGCTTTTCTCCTGGAAGAGAAACAATGAGGATTTGGGTATAGTAAACAATCCACTTGGACTTCTCCCCTACTTATTGCACAATGGCCCACAAATGCCTGCCTTAAAATAGGGGTGCGTGGCAAGAATTGTATATGTCCCCTCCTTTTCAATTTCTAATGATTTTTGTTACCAAACGTCCGATTCACCAAAATGATTTAAAAGATTGATTGCCCTGTGTGGATTGATTTCTGATGGCGCCGTGATTTGCAGCTCTCAACTCATCACTTGGTTCCAGAGCAGACGTTTTATCATAAAATATAAAAAAATATTGGGGCCATATCTTGCCATTGCTTTCTAAGCTGGACTCCCCAGTGAAACCAGCCAGGAGCTCTGCGTCAGAACTGGTGACACGACATGGCTCCAGCGAATTTACGGGTTTTGTTTTTGTTTCAACTGGTGCTATCAGATAGTCGGCTCGAAAACGGTTTTTAAAAATCGAGCCGTTTGCACCTTCATATAAAATCCAGCATCCTGCCACACGATAAACCATTAATAAAAGAGTTAAAGCCAGACACATTTTATTTCATGGATGGATCTTCGAAGTAAACACACATCCGCTGGGAAAACTAAATGTCTGTAAAATACTCCATTTAATTTTCATTCTATTTCTTCACCTTCTTGCCAGAATTCCAAATGGTCAGAGTAATTTGGAGGTGAGAACACAAACATCCCCCCGTTTGGAGGGGGAGCCATTTAACATTAAATTCCATTAGCACCTAAATTGTTTCTTAAAGACATCCGCTCAGACACAATGACTTAAGTGCGGGCATTTCATGCAAATAAATTTCTCAAATTTTAAACCTTGTTAAAGCTCGTCTGGCACCTAGCACCATTCTTAACACTTAAGGAAACAATAGGCCTATAGATCTTACCCGTATTCAAGTAAATATTTATAGTCGAAGTTGCTAAAATATTTGTCCGTCTTTTATGAAATACTCTGGCACAATTCTAAACTGGGAGGAATAGTAAATGAATAATATATGAAGCAGGATATTGCGTTTGTTTTGTTATTGTTCAGCTAACGCAATTTACTACCAGGAAGTATTGTGTCCTTCTCTCATATCTGACCTGATTTTTTGTGTAAGTTTCTGAACCTCAACTCCTCTGCTACCTATTACATAATTTAATAAACTGTTGCAACGCCACCTTAAACCACCTCCTCACGTGAGACTTTAAAAACACTTTCTAAATTAGACATTTTATTGCTTTAACTCACACCATTTAAATTTAATGAAAAACATTCCCAGAAAGCAGCATTTCGCCGCTTACTACGAGCTATTGTATATTTAAAATACATAGGCAGGCACACACCGAAGTCCTATCCAAACGTGTACATTACTTACGGACAATATCTTATCGACACATATCACCATCCTACTTTAACAGCATTAATGAATAGAGTTCGCTTTGTATTTTACATTGAAACGGGAAGAAGTCAGTCACATCTTGACATATTTCCACATTCATAAATGACCACAGAAATAAATCAATTGGCAAAAATTAAAAAAACAAATCCGTTCACAAGGAAAGAACAGGAGAAAACGCCCGGTGAAAGGCAACAGCACGCTGACATGGAAGTGTTTACACCCGGGAGCATGTTTAAGTGCATTTTTAGACAAACAAACCATTTTTAAATCTTCGAACCCCCAACATAATTACCTGTGTGTGTCCTTTTGTGGATTTTTAGGTTTTCTGATCTGGCGAAAACTTTCCCACAGCCCGGAAAGGGGCAGGGGAAGGGCTTCTCTCCGGTGTGCACTCGGATATGATTGACCAGTTTGTATTTGGCTTTGAAAGGTTTGCCTTCGCGGGGACACTCCTCCCAATAACAGATATGGTTGCTCTGCTCGGGTCCCCCAACATGTTCCACCGAGACGTGGGTGACCAGCTCGTGCATGGTGCTAAAAGTTTTATTGCAACTCTTTTTGGGGTTGCTCAGCTGCTCGGGGTCTATCCACTTGCAGATCAGCTCTTGCTTGATGCACTGTTGTCTCATGTATCGAAAAAAGGCACCTGGGTGGTGATGGTGGTGAGCTGCCATGTTCATGCCCATATTCATATTCATGGGGCCATACTGGTTGTGCAGCTGAGCCGCCGAGTAGGGATCAGTCCTGGGGCTAGAGACCTGGCGGTATTGATCCGATCGGGCGAAGACCTCCCCGGGCAAACCCAGGCGCATCTGCCCGTTCAGGACATTTTGGGAGGCGTGGGGGCCGTGCTGGTCGTGGATGCCCGGGAAGAGGATGTGGCTCTGAGCGTCCGTGTGCGGGTGATGGAGGGTCCCGGCCGCAGGGCCAAAGATCCCGTGCTGGCCGCCAGCCGAAGACGAGTCCCCAAACACCCGGCTGCGAC